ATTTTTCTATATTTATTTCGATTCGTTGAGGCTGTTACAAACAACCGTTATGTGAACAAAGTTAATATACCATTGTGCACAAGTGCGCTCGGGTATAAAAATTTGACAACCAAGTTCACAAATCAAATAAGAATCAATTCAAGGCGAATTTAATATATATTGAGGAGTGGGACTTGGCATGCAATATATCGTTAGTATAGTATGGAAAGGGCGTAACTCACATTGTCGCTGAAATACAAAAAGCCGTAACTAACTAAAAATCCAAAATTCAATATTTGATTGATTATGAAGCATTTCATCGAGTGATAAATCCCCACATCGTTTAATACAATAAACAATTTTAGAGTTGTGGCTTTTTTGCATTTCAGCGGCAATGTTAAATACGGCCTTTCCATACTATATTAGCGATATGTTGCGCTCATTTTCCTCAAAATATCAAGGCACATTGAGCGCATGGAATGGAACGACAAAACGGATTTGATGACTTTCGGCTGGCAGCCACGACTTTCAAAACAGAATTTTCTTCGAAATTTTCATTCCTAGAAAATATCAATTTATTTGCCATATCCACCTATTTAGAACCTCGCTATAAGCACACATTTTTCAAACCAGCCACAGAAGAAAGGGTTCCGAAATCTCTTTCAATAAATAATGTGTATGGGTCATTCCTTACAATATTTACACCTCAATATTTTTGTTTTGGGTGAAATATATTTTTTTACATTCTTTATCGAAAAAAAGAAAAAAAAAATTTTTTTGCATTAAAAAATCGCATTTTTTATTTATTTTTTATTAACTTCATCATGTTTGATCTTTATTTTTTTCAACCCGAATATTTGTCAAACTTTATGGAGTACGCTGTAAAAATTTGAGAACGTAGAAGTTCCGAGTTTTTTCATGCCTGCGTACATAAACTTAAGTATAAACTTTATGTGCACAGGTATGAAAAAACTAGTAATTCCTACAGTTTTGGTGATTCCATTCTCAAATCTTTACAGCTTACTCCATAAAGTTTGACCACTATTCAGTATGGAAAAAAATTAAAAACTAAACATGATGAAGTTAATAAAATAATAAAAAATAAAAAATGACAACTTTTATTGCAAAAATTTTAATCTATCTCACACTCTCACGGTAATTACGCAAATTTTGATACCTTAAGTGATTTTCTCCGACAAATAGTTTATTAACTGCAAACAATTAAAAAAAGATACTTCTCCGTGAGTTCAAAATTTCGGGAATTTTTTTTCGAGATTTTCGAATATCATGACGAAATCAAAAATAGGTGTCTTGTTTTTTTTCGATAAAGAATGTAAAAAAATATTTCACCCCCAAAAAAATATTGAGGTGTAAATATTGTATGGAATGACCCGTATGCACTTTTTTTAAGGCACAAAACAATCGATTTATCGATCCTTTAAAACATTACTTTTGGCCAGCAAATAGTAGCTGCCAGACCATAGTGGATTGGCTGGAACGAATAAAAAAATGAAAAATGTTTTTTATTTAAATTTAATGCACATGAAAATTGACAGAAAGAAAACAATAATTTTTCACTGACATAATCAAGGCGAATTCATGTAAGGTGGTAGCGGTAGTACAAAAACCTAAACTTAAATGTATTTTGTTTTTGTTTTCGGTACACAAATGTCAAATTTCAGATATTCTTCGCTCAAGCAGGAAGAGGGAAAGAAAAATTCTAACACTCTCACTTTCGCACTCACTCATAAGAAGTTTTAATATCTGTGTACCGAGGCGNAAGTAATGCAAGCAAATGCTTTTCGATTGGAACGAATGTAGGAATATGCACAAATATATGTACGTACCAGGGATGTTGCGAATATTTGCATTCGCATTCGTTATGCGAATGATTCGCATTATATTACACATTCTCATTCGACATTCGCATTCGCATCAAATGATACGAATGTTTTGCGAATGCAAATGTGTACATGGGCAGAGAGTCCACTCTAATATTGTTGAAAATCGATAAATAAAGAAGGAGCGAGTGGTCAAATGAAAATGCGCAAAGATTTTTTATATAAAATATAGGCCTAAAAGCCCGCTACTTAGGTGTACATGGCGTATGAGTAACATTATTTCCTGCTCATTTCTCATACAAATACTCTTTGCGCATTTTCATTAGGCCAATCATTATTTCTTTATTTATCCATGGCTTTTCTTCAGTAGTAACTTGATTGTTTTTTGTAACAGAACAGGCTTTAGCACAAAGGCAAAAATTTTACACAGAACCTGTTATTTTTAAAATTTTTCTTCTGTAAAAGTGTTTTTTTTTCATATTAATTAATTTGTCAGAAACTATCAGACCTATCGAAAAGTCTGAAATATACGGTCTATTTAAAATTTTGTTAGCTTCCATTTGCCGTATTTCATGTCAGGGTTGGGCGTTTTTGATTGAATTATTATTCAAATAAAAAATAAAATTTTATTCATAATTTTTCTAATTCTGAATGACGAATAAATTTTTATTCTTCATTCAAGCACTTTAGAATGATGAATAAATTTTGTAAATTTGTGTTTTTAACTTTTTATTCATCATTCAAATAACAAATAAATTTTTATTCTTCATTCAAGTAATTTCAAATAACGAATAAATTTTCATTCATCATTCAAGTAATTTAGGATGACGAATAGATTATTATTCATCATTCATGTAATTTTAAATAACGAATAAATTTTTATTCATCATTAAAGTAATTTCGAATGAAGTGTAAATTTTAATTCATGATTCAAGTAGTACTGAATAACCCATAATTTTTCATTCATTCATTCTTTCTTGATCACAGTACCAGGTAGACGATCATGGTAAACGTTCGTGTCTTATATACATACATATGTAGATTTTGATATTATATTTTCTAATATTTCACACACAATAAATATGTATATAAGACCGGGTGTTCAGATTGTTTAAAAAAAAGCGCAATTTCTGAAAAAATTGCCAATATTTTTTTAAATAAAATTCATCAAATCGATTTAACAAATCTTTTATTTAAAAAATGAGATCTTGTTATAATATAGTTTTTAAAACCAAAATCGAATACCTGCAGAGGGTAAGGTATTAAGGCTTTCCAACCTCATCCTATTTCGAGTCTTAGTTTTTGTTGAATTCATTGCGGAAAAAACGTGCTCAACCAAGCATGTGAGTGCGACAAGGACAATAGTATGAAGTCTACTTTACTTATATTTCCAAACATTTTATTGCCTCTTGCGGTTTTCATTCCGTAAGCAATTATCCAAAATTCTTCAGAGTCGGATGGAATGGTTCTGAGAAAAGTTATTCCATGGGAAAGTTAAAAGATTTAAATACTCAGTTTCCGCTGCTTTTCATTCCTTTAAAGTCAAATAGTGGATCGGCAGGTCCCTGAGACTCGCGCTCTTGTGATTCACACACTTTTCTGGTGACAAAATCAAAGCTTTTTTAAAAGTATTTAATTGACGAGGTAATCGTTTCAAAAGTTCTTCGATTAGGGTGATTCAACATTTTTGAGTCTTTTAATATGCTTCTTAAGTCAAGTTTATGACGCAGTTCATTAGCCTCTTCTGTAAATTTATCGTGGGGAACAAAGTATTGTATATTTTTATAATTTGAAAAATTTTATGTGAAGCGAAAAGATCGCCAAAAATCGCCAATGGCGATTTCCTAACTTTTTACGCGCAAATATCCAAAAAATCGCCAAATTGGCGCGAAATCGCCAAATCTGGACACTCTGCTATAAGACACTAACATTTACCATGATCGTCTACCTGGTACTTTGATCAAGAAAAAATGAATAAATGAAAAATTATGCGTTATTCAATATATTTTTTCATGAATGAAAATTTGTTCATCATTCTAAATTGCTTGAATGATGATTAAAAATTTATTCGTTATTTCAAATTACTTGAATGATGGAAAAAATATATTCATCATTCGAAAGTGCTTGAATGAAGAATAAAAATTTATTCGTTATTTGAAATTACTTGAATAATGAATGAAAATTTATTCATCATACGCAAGTGCTTGAATGAAGAACAAAAATTTATTCGTCATTCAAAATTGTTGAAATGATGAATGAAAGCTTATTCTTAGTTTTTTTATTCAATTATTCATTTTCCTGATTACGTCCATTCCCCTGTTGTTAAATTGGGTCGTAAGATATACGTGATTAAGTGTAAGCACTCTTTGTTTTAAGCTGAATAACAGTAAATTGAAAATATCTTGAAAACTTATCCATAGAATAAAATATAAAGTCGATTTTCGAAATCAGCGAGCAATTCTTTATAGGAATTGGATAGTGGCATCCATTGAACATTTTTGCTGTAAACCAGTGATATCAAATCGGTTCCGTCTTATATCTCCACCTAATATTACCGGCATGTGTTTTTCTACGCACGCACGCAAGTTTTTCACAATTGAGAAACCGAAAACAATTTGCGTGAGTGAATTCTCAGGACTGCATTTCTGTAAAATTTACCTAGTTTATTGAACAAATCCATAGTTGCGCTAAAATGTCAATCGAGCATAAACGTCAAATCGAGATATCACGCAAGACAAATCTTGGAATTTGAGTTAGCTTTTTACGCACGCCGTTCAATTTGGGTTAGTCCCATAAGTTGTATGTGCATGAGAAATTTTTCACAGTAAATTGCCGGCGCACAATGGTGCCGATTCATAGAGGGCGATGCTCAAAATTCAATTTTCGAAAGTTGATATATAAGTAAAAAATATATACCAGAAGGTCATAACGAAGTACCAAATCTCGTGTATAAACATTGGGTTCCTAGCTACTAACCAGGGACCGAAAATAATTATTATTTCAAAATTTTCAATGAAAAAAATCAAAAGGTTCAAAATATCGTAGAACAATTTCTAGTATATACATGTGCATGTTTTTTCATCCTTTGTATGAATCTCTTATGAGATCAAAAAGTTTGAGCGATATCTATACAAATTATAACTNTCACCTCAACTCACCTCACCCCAATTCAACTCAACTCACGTCATCTCAGTTCAGTAAAGCAAATCACAAATACATTTTATTTCTGAGCTGATCAGCGCGTATTTGCAAGCAGAGCACTGAAGAAAACCCAGTGGGATAGGAAATCATTACCTTTTTCTACCAAGAAAAGATTAATAACTACGGTTGAACGAAAAGATGCATCGCAATGTAAGCGAGCGGAAGATGTGTAGCTTTGAAGCGACAAACAAAACTAAAAGTTTGAAAACTAAGGCACTCCGCACATTAAGCTCCTAATCACAGTAGTGTAATCGTTTCGGCATACTAAAGTATAAAGCTTTTATGCCGAACCCATGTATTTCAAAGAAGCTCTGTAGATTACGATTCAAAATCATGTTTGCGCCTAATCATAAAAGCTTCATGAATCGAAGCGCCCAACATTGTAAGGCGCTTTCTGTTTTGAAATCGTCATTTGTTTACTTTTTTGTGTTGGAAATAAAATTTATTTGTCAATTCATTAGAAAATAATTGGAAATGAACGATTTCGTGCTAAAATTCGTGCAAATTGTATTAAACCACAAGCGTTTATGCAATATTTCGGAGCGGAATAATTTGCGGAAGTGCGTGTTGCGAAAGAACTGCCTAAAAATTTGTTATGTGTAGAAAGTGTTTATTAGCTGGTGACTTATGCAGGGCGTGCAAGTGTACAGAAGTCGAGTCGTCATGCATTCGTTTCGGTATGATGAAACGATTACTCTACTTTGATTAGGCGCGTAATGTGCCGAGTGCCTAACTCAAGTATCATTTTTGTTCACGTTATCTCAACAGCTGCTGTAGCCGAATGGATGTGTGTTCGACTGCCGTGTTGATGGTCACGGGTTCAAAACCTGTGGCACGGACTTTATTTTTTATTTTTATTTTTTTATTCTATATATACTCGCATAGTAAAAATTAATACATATTCTGTTCTGCTGAGCTACTGGTAATCGATACATCTATGATATTTTTACACGTTGAACCTGTACAAATCCGATCCCTGAGTAGGGGTAAAAATTTAATTCCGCACCCACTTCTCTTTCTTTTGATATATGTTTCATGAAAATTAATGGGTATCAAGTACCTCAAAACTACCACAAAAATCATAAAAATGTGTATTCAATTTGTTTATGACAACTGCCGTTAAATTATCAACGGGGGTACTTTTGTCTGATTTGAAACATTTTATATAACATGTTTAGTTAGACTATAAGCAATAATTGAAACGAGTTTGATAGAAACTTTTGAAATTTATCTGTCAGTGTTGCCGTTGCCCTAGCCTTTGAAGTATCCATAATAAATCGACCACCATATCCAAATGTATCTAC